CCCTCATCAGTCATCACCAACATCATATTGCGGGAACCTTCCCCACCTATTAAAATTGACACCAATAAATAAATAATGAATGCAACCTGTTATATAGGCAATAAATAGCATTTATAAAATTGTTAAGCAGAGAAGCTTAAGGTGCAAAGCAATTAAACCTAAAAACAAATTGCAACAAAACAATTGAGCTTCAAATGAGAAAAACTTTAGCTAGCTTATCAATCTCTGCGCTAGGAACCTGAAAATGTTGATTAATGAGCAAAAAGGTGAATCTCCACGACTCCAAAACAAAGCCAAAATCAAAGTGAAAAGTAATTCAATAGATAGGCAAAAGTAAGAAATTACGTTTCATACGGTTGAACAAAAAAAAATAAAGATACCGATATCTTTTACAAAGGGTTTCGCCCTCAGTAATTAACAGTCAAAATTAGCCTGATCAAAAGAGAAAACTATAGAACTATTATAACCACTTTCATCACTCATCACTAGATTTCTATGTATAATTTCAGTTATATTTTTTTTTATTATGATCATCACCCTCCTCAACTACATATATTCATATCATTAGAAGATGTAATGACTTATTATGAACAAGTGAACAACATACTTATGGATTATAATTACAAGAAGTGAAACTATTTCATACCGAAGGATTTATACTCAAAATATTGGATATTCACACTATAGCATGTATATAAATATATAATTGAAAACAATTTTATAATTATATATAACATATGTACAACTATCTAGTATATAGACAATATAAAATCTTAAGTATCGGTCAAACACAAGTATATATAATTATCATATGAAGGTAGCCCAAAACATCCAAAAGTATCGTTATCTACCATATGGCCTCCATTGCTCGCCTCTGACATCTATACATAATTTGTCCACATGAAAAACATATAAAGATAAGCTAGATTTAAAAAACATACAAGTATAAAAAGGAGTATCTATACTCAACATCATCGTACGTGACAAACAAACAATCACACGACATGATTTGCATCCCACAAAAAATCGCCATGTTCGAAAGCTAAAACATCCAAGCAATCAAACATTCATCACAATCTATATCACACAACAATATGTTTGTCTAATGCATATGAATAACAATAACAACTTGCACCGCATCATATGCATATCCAACAATTAATGCATCATCACACATTCACCTATAAAGATCACCTGAGTAGTCTAAGTGACTTGATTGTACCGAACCAATTCGATCGCTTTCACACCCAATGCGTCCACTAGATCGTAAGCTAAAATGGGATATCAATTCCTACCCCTAATTTCTTGGGTGTCGCTACTTACATTAGGAAAGTCTGATTCCACCGTCAAGACTAGTATAGTTGAATATAGATGTACCACAACTTTCACATGCATTACCAAATCACTTATAAAGTTACCCCCATTGACTATCTACAAAAAACCACCCAACCTTTTTAGTAATCAGTTAAGAGTGATTGTCCTCAACTTCATATTTTACTCTACATTGACTAACGACCTAAAGGAGACTCAATAAAATCCACTTTAAAAGTTTCATAAAGGAAGATTTTCAACAACTAGTCTCCTGGAGCACCAAAACAATATTTCTTATATGGGATCTTTAACTTTCTAAACAACATTATCTCCTCTAGTTCTAAGTCAATCAACATGTTTTAATGCCCACAACATTCTTAGCATTAACACCTCAATACATTTTCTATATACATTACCTTAGATCAATGCATATAGAGATCAAATCACACCAATCATGTATAGCCTATCAATACTTAACATCTTAACCAAAAATAGTATACTAATGCTCAATAATTCATTCAATAATAGCATGCAAATACCTATTCAACACTCCAACCATGCAATTTATAACATATTAATGTTCATCACTATATCAATTATGCAAGTATAGCATATCAATGCTTATCATCATCATCATCATACATCATACAACATGCAATAAAAACAAGTATTCTATACTGGATTAAAAAAATGTTATTCCATCTATATTAGCATTTTCTAGAAAAATATTGTAATAACCTATTAACTTAATATATAATAATATTTTAATAAATATTACTAAAAAAAGTAAATGTAGTAGTGGTTAAGTTGAAGTTCAAATCAAGTAATTGTAAAGTGTAGTATCACTCATGGACATGTAAACATTCTTTGTTTAACATTTGTGAAATTATAGGTCCAAAAATAATTTAAGCTTTTAATTATTATTGGTTTATTAAGAAGAAATTAATTTTTAAAATTTTAATATAGAATTAATATTCAGATATTGATTTCTAAACATTTTATTATCAACCATATTTTATGCCACTGATTGCTTTTCTATCTCCAACAAATTAGAATTTTAACCGTGTACAAGGCAAGTAGGTAACTAACATGATTATGCTCAATTGCTCTGCATGGTACTATATTCACCACATTCTGTATAATCATAACAATTGATAATTGTTATGGGGATGAATTTGCCAATGGGATGAAGATCGCTGTTAAAAGGTTTTCTAAAAATTCTGAGCAAGGATTGAAACGAGTGTAATAAGTAATTTAGAGATGAACCCAAATTAGAAGATTTAATTTGAATGGTTTCCAGGCATGGAAATTGTTGTGGCTTGAAATGAGGTATTTGGAGCAAGTAGATGAAATATTTGCTCATTCAGACACTCGCTTTCAAGACTGAATGGGCCACTTGTGCATGAAAACCAGAAATGGGCCCCATATAAGAAATGTAATCCAAATGTTGGACGATAATAAACCAAGTCTAATTTGTCACTTGAAACTTATAGGATGACGAAACATTTCGGTCTAATAATTTGTTTAGGTCAGTCTCGTAGTTAATCAAGCCAAAAACAGGTTTAGTTGAGTTTACCTGATAAGTAAAAATAAGTTGGATGTCCTAACTTGTCCTCTTAAAGGTGAATTGATGGGTTAACCTATAAAAAAAAAATATATTATTTATTTATTTTAGGTATCTATTTTAATATATTTCATTTTTAATGTCTAAATAATTCACATAAATTAGTGTACTTCAATAATAAAATAAATATAAAATTATAATATATTTGGTATGATTTGTTGTACAAAAAATCTCAAATTTTTACATAATATATAATATAAATAATAATAATAATTCTAATATATTTATTGCACAAAAAATCTCAAATATATAATAAAATAAATCAAATATATAGCATATTTGATCCATAACAAATTATAGATTTCTCACTTAATAAATCTAAAGTAATTTATTTAAATTTGACAATGAAAACAAAAATACTAAAGAATAACGAATAATTAGGCAAGCTAGCAAGTTAACCTTCTCCGACCTGTTATTTGACTCAACAGATTCACAGGTTAAGTGAGGCGGACTAGAATATTTAACCTAGTCCACCAATTTTTGATAAGTTAGTTTACAAGTGGAAGCCGATTTTGTCATTTCTAAAAACTTACTAAATAGGTAAGGAGTAAGCACAATGATGATTTCAATATCATTAAGTTTTCTCAAAAAAAAAAAGTGAAAAACCATTTTTATATTGATTAGGGTCGTTCATTCTTCCTAAATTTAAATAAAATTGAATTAGTTGAGGGATAAAATTTGTTAAAGAAAAGTAATTATGAGGAATTAGTTTGTAGAACTTTATTTACCGTACATTGATTATTCTGAACACTAAAAAGTATCTAACATATTATATAACAGTAAAAAAAAAATGTCAGAAACAAAATTTAAAACTATAGGTATACAAAAAATTGTTAAAATGAAAAAATTTAAAAATATGAAGAAAAAAGAAATTGCGACCGAAGACACTCAATCATTTGTTATATAATTTGTAAACAATATTCGCAGTGACATTTGAAATTCTAGCATTATACAAACTATTCAATCTCTTACTATTAGGGATGACAATTACAAGCACATGTGAATGGGCCTATAGGTAAAACCCAATGTGGATCGAGTTGGGTATCTGTGCATGGGCCTATAAATGATCCATTCAGCTTGTAATTCGTACAGGTTGGGTCGAAATAGATTGCATGGGCCTGTCTTGTAGTTTGGTCTGTTTAAAAGCACAAGTTATAAATTTAGAGGACAAAAAACTATATACTCCAAACTAGGAGAAATAAAAAAAAAGGAAGAATAAAAACGTAATTAAGCCAATAATTAAATTATGTACATCGTCAAGTTTTGTAATTGCCCTGCAATATGTATTTCTAGAAAAAATAAAAAGAGACTACTGTTATGACTTTTCATGAATGTCTATGCAAAATGCAGATTCAGAGCTCAGATGTTTTGAAATCTATCACATAATTTATTAATCCAGAATTTGAGATATTAATGCTTTACGTTTTGTGCTATTGGCTATTTGGTCAACTCAACGAAGAAAAATAGTAGAAAAAGTTTTGCGCAAAAGTTAGAAAAGCAGCGATGATTGCATGGGTATGTCATGCTTGCATTATTTGATTGTGACCTCTCTTATGTTTCTAGGTGTGTGTATATATGTATATTGGCTTAAACTTCAACACTACACTTTACATCATATAAAGAGTAACGTAGAGGTACTAATTTCCTTTCAAATACATGTACGTAATCATATCAGAGCCTTACCATTGGATATTCACTACTACATCGTTAAGGAAAATATAAGCTTGTCATAATTTATAATTTATAAAATATTTGTAAAAAAATTAACGACAGCTTAGATTTTATTTAATTATGTATTGGTAAGTATTACAATTAACGATTTCTTTTAGGTCCAAAGTGGTCTAAATTTTGTAATGAATATTATAATATTAATGATTAGGAAGGTGCTTTGTTGATGTGTCAAACCTGTTTCTGCAAAATAGTATGTGAAACGAAGCCAGGCATCAGATAAGTCTAATTCTTTCGCTTGACGAAATTGCTTGATGACCCCAATTGAGTTGGAGCAGTTAAGACTTGAGGAGTGTTACATCCACATCATAAACAAAGGTTGAAACTTGTCAAATTAGTAGTGAAAGTTGCTCCAACCACTAAAAGTTACCTTTTTTCTAGTGTAGATGCAAGACTCTTGTAATCTTGTGAAATTGAAGTCACACTTGTTTGAAAAATATATGAAGCACTAAGCTTTTAGCAAGACCCTTGTCTGATATAAGTTGAACAGCTGAATGCTGATAGAACACGTAAATTATAGAATAATTTATATGGATAGCCATCAGGTTCAGGTGATGATAGTGTTGTGCTCTCTCTTATTCTCCCTCATTCCCAACATCACTGCAGTGAGTGTTATCACTCCAGATCAGCCCTTACATCACAATGAAACCCTGGTGTCAGCATCTGGAACCTTTGAAGCAGGTTTCTTCAGCCCAGGAAGTTCTCAGAGACGCTACTTTTCCATATGTTACAAGAATATATCACCTAGAACAATTGTGTGGGTGGCCAACAGAAACACCCCTTTAGATAACTCCACAGGAGTTTTCAGAGTCGATGATGAGGGAAATCTTGTTGTACTTGATGGCACAGGTGCAAGTGTTTGGTCATCCAATGCATCAAGTATTGCTCAGAAGCCTATTGTGAAGCTTTTGGACTCTGGAAACCTTGTTGTGAAAGATGGTGGTACAAATAGCCAAGAGAAGGTTGTGTGGCAAAGCTTTGATTTTCCTGGTGACACTTTACTTCCTGGGATGAAACTCAAAACCAGTTTTGTAACTGGTATGCATAATTCTCTGACATCATGGAGGGACCTAGAAGATCCTTCTCTGGGGGAGTTTTCATTGTATATTGATCCTCATGGTTTTCCTCAGAGAGTGATCACAAAGGGAGGGACTTGGTTGTATAGAGCAGGTTCATGGAATGGTTATCAGTTTTCAGGAGTTCCTTGGAACCTGTTGCATAATTTCTTCAATTATTATTTTGTGTGGACACAGGAGGAAGTGTATTATGAGTATGAGCTCATAGAAAGTTCGGTTGTAACAAGATTTGTGATCAACCCTGGAGGTCTTGATCAACGTTTCACATGGTCAGAGAGGACAAAGAGTTGGGAGCTTTTTGCCTCTGGCCCCCGGGACCAGTGTGAAAACTATGCCTTGTGTGGTATAAATTCTGTTTGCAATATTAATAACTATCCTATATGTGAATGCTTGGAGGGCTTTCTCCCCAAGTTTAGAGAAAAATGGAGATCATTGGATTGGTCTGGTGGTTGTGCTAGGAGAATGAATCTGAGTTGTGATAATGAAGATGGGTTTGTTAAGTATGAAGGAATGAGATTGCCAGACACATCTTCCTCATGGTTTGACACAAGCATGAGCCTTGATGAATGTAAGAGAGTGTGTTTGAGAAACTGCTCTTGCACAGCATACACAAGTTTAGATGTCAGAGATGGTGGCAGTGGCTGCTTGCTTTGGTTTGGTAACATTGTGGATATAGGAAAACATGCCTCCCAAGGACAAGACATTTACATACGAATGGCTGCTTCAGAGCTAGGTAATTATAAATTTTCAATTGAAGCATAGAAAAATCAATGCATAAACACTTAGTTTTGTGTGTCCACATGCATTTATAAACTGCATACATAGTGATCTTTTGCATGAAGTGATGCTTGTTGAAATTATGACATATTATCAGATCTAATACTGAACTTGTACTCAGTACCACATTTCCTTGTTTTCTTTAAAATTGTTATATTCTTCTTCTTTAATGCTACTTGTGTGTTATCTGATAGTACTTTTGTTCTAACAGATCATACTTGGGATAAAAGTCACATTGACAAGAAGCTTGTGTTGATTTTGACAGCAATTAGTACAATCATCATAGGCGTAATATTAGGATCAGTCATATACATAAGGAGAAAACTTGAGAAAGCAGGTGAACTTTTAGATATTAAATTCAAAGTTGTAGCTGATTTCTTTATGTAGTATTCACTAATATGTTGTCACTCGTTTCAGGGAAGACAAATATAATTGACCAAATGCATCACACTATAAAACATGAGAAGAAAGACATTGACTTACCAATCCTTGATTTATCAACCATTGATAATGCCACTAGTAACTTCTCTATCAGTAACATTTTGGGAGAAGGTGGATTTGGACCAGTTTACAAGGTAACATGGTTATATCCCACCAATGGTACACTTACTCAACATATCTCTTTTAACGCGTCCACATAATAATTATCAGGGTGTGCTGGCAAATGGACAAGAGATTGCTGTTAAGAGGCTTTCTAAAACCTCTGGACAAGGATTAGATGAGTTCAGAAATGAAGTTGTATTAATTGCCAATCTTCAGCATCGGAATCTTGTGAAGATTCTTGGGTGTTGTGTTCACGATGAAGAGAGAATCTTGATCTATGAATTCATGCCTAACAGGAGCTTGGATCTTTATATTTTTGGTTTGAAGCTTTTGACGCATACTATCTACTCTAGATTTACTTGTACACTCTTTACTGCTAAAATTATTTTATAACCATGCTAATTTAACTAGGGAACACATGCAGATCAAACAAAAAGGAAATTATTGGATTGGAACCAACGCTTCCGAATTATAAGTGGGATTGCTCGAGGGCTTCTCTATCTTCATCATGATTCTAGACTAAGAATCATCCACAGAGACATCAAAACCAGCAATATTCTTCTTGATGATGATATGAATCCAAAGATATCAGACTTTGGCCTAGCAAGGATGCTTGTTGGTGATCACACTAAAGCCAATACAAAAAGAGTAGTGGGGACTCAGTAAGCATGCTTTAATTACTATATGTTTGTTGCATAGTCTTTTCTGATCTAATTTGAATTTAATCATGTGTTATCTTGTAGTGGTTACATGCCTCCCGAGTATGCGATGTATGGATCTTTTTCGGTGAAATCAGATGTCTTCAGTTTTGGTGTCATTGTACTAGAGATAGTTAGTGGGAAGAAGAACACAAAATTTCTTGATCCCTTCAATCAACTTAACCTTCTTGGGCATGTAAGCATAAAGAGTAAAGACTACCTTTTTGATACTATTCTAAAAATGCATATTTTAGGTCTCTCAATTTGTTTTTGTCAAAATAAGTCTTAATCTCTACCTATATTTTGAAAACGATGATTTCAATCCTCATATTTTTTTAAGATAGGTTGATTCCATCCCTTTATACTTAAGATACTAGGGTGAAGAATGAAATTTACCAATTATAAAATTATACAAAGACTAAAATGGTTGTGTTGTTTTAAAGTAAAGTGACTAAGGTCAATTTTGACCGAAAATTGAGAGACCTGAAACACATTTTATCCTTTAATTGAATAGACAAGTTGATAGTAAATAGTGATATAATGATTTTAGTATTAAGTGAAGGGTAAAAGTCATAATATAGTTTTCTTTGTTGTCCAGGCATGGAGATTGTGGAGTGAAGGGAGGCCTTTAGAGCTGATTGATGAATCATTAGAGTATTCAGTGATTGAAAGTGAAGCATTGAAAATTGTTCACGTTGGGCTCTTATGCGTTCAAGAGAGGCCGGAGGATAGGCCCAACATGTCAAGTGTGGTTCTGATGCTGAATGGTGAGAGACCATTGGCGAGGCCCAAGCAGCCCGCGTTTTACCCACACCATGATGACACTTCATCCAGCAAGTGTGAATTCAGCTCAAATGAATTGTCCATCACGTTGGAGGCAAGATAGTAGACCCCAATTGAAATTAATAAATGAGAAAATGGATTCATCAAGATGCCACAATTCACAAAACAGTGAGTGGAATGCTGGTGTTAGTATAAAAGCCTCAAGTTCTATTCACAGAGGCTGTGTACCCACAAGAATCGATGCTTCTAATTCTAATGTACACATACAATAATTCCATTCTTCAAAGAGGCTTGATTTATTGGATGAAGTTCAAAAACAACTCTTTTTTTTTTTTTTTTTTTTTGTTAGATATCCCACTTTTGTTAGTGATATAATTACTAAATCGGTAAATGAGACAATCCTTTTTTATAAGAGAATTTATTAAATAATTTGACTTAAAGTCTGTTTAGATAAATTTTTTTAAAAGCACTTTTGAGAAAAAAAATTATGAACGAAAATAAATTTTTTTATAAGTCAAAATTAATTTATATATAAATAAAAAATAATCTTTTAGAAAAGAAATATAAGAGAGTTCTATTAATTAACCTATACATAAGCCAAATAAGTTATGAAAAATTTTATTTCATTTGTTTTACTTAAAGTGCATATCGAAAGATATTATCAAAATAGACTCTTGACCTAAGAGTTAAATTGATGAATTTTGTTTTGTGAATGATTAAAAAAATGATGAATTTTAACTATTTTAAGAATCTATCAGTATATTTATAATATAAAAATTGAGCTACTTTACCATGACATATCATTTTAAAATAAATTTTAGACATTATCATATAAGGAAAATGTTGACATATTATTTTATAATTTCATAAGATAACATACTCATGTATTAAAAATACAGTGTTCTTTCATGTATTAAAACTTCTAATAAGAAAAACATGTTTAAATTTTTTTCCCAATAGATATAAAATATCTATACAAGAAATATAATGTTGATAATTATGCTAAAAATAAATGGTAGATTATCAATTTAATTACTGTTTTAATGAAAAATTAAAAAATATAATAATAAATTAATTATTGATAAAAGAAATTATATTTAAATTAGCAAATTAAATAATTAAATTATAATATTTAATATACTTTTTAATTAAATAATATTTAAATAATTCATTATTTTTCCGCGCATTGTGTGGATCGTTATATAATTAATCATATAACTTTATATCTATTCAGGAAATAGAATAAGAGTTTTTTTACTGAAATAATATTATTTTAAAAAAATTTATACAAATAACAACTGTGCAAATTTATTTACCAAACTAGCATTATTTTCTGTTCACGTTCAAAACGGCTCGCTCTGATATCAGAATGGGTCGTTTCAGATGAAACAATAATACCTGAAAAATGAATTAGAACGGCCCGTTCCGGATTTAGAACGGGTACTTCTGAATCCGGAACGGGTCGTTCTGGCCACTTTTGATGGGCCGACGTATGAAACAATAGACGTGAACACACATTGATGGGTTATCCAATGCAAGACCCATTGTTTCAAACACGAGAATACATGGAATGGTACATGGTCAATTCAATTTATTTCCTATTTATGCCACGACTACTACAAGATCCAAGGACCCATCAACAACGAAGAACTTCCACAACATTTGAAACTGGTGCAACTTCCACACAAGAAAACATAGTTGACAGAAGACATTTGTTTGCAATAACTTCAGATGATCTTTTTACAAATTTATTTGGAGTAGATTTTAGAACTCCATCTTCAGCACAATCATACATGCAATCTCTTTACCAATCGACATTCACTAATGAACCTGGTAATTCTTCAACAACATTTCAACAACTAGTGCTTGATGATGAACCAAACCTTTTGAGCAACAACCTCTACAGCGTAATCCAGACCGTAACAAATGTCGCCTTCGTTGTGGAACTGGATACCATTACAAAGATTAAAAAAATTATATAATTCACTCTATCTTAATGTTATCGATTTTTACTTTTAATGCACTATGTCTATTTATCAATGTAATATGAATTTTAATATAATGAATTTTTTACTTTTAATGCACTATGTCGCTTATAAACTATTATAATTATACATTATTTGGACATGTCTTCCTAGTGTGATGTGCATGTTATCTAGGCTTGTCATTATAAGCCAATAATCCTCATGTCGGAGCTTGCATTGTAGTAGCCGTGGCACAGATAGAAAATAGATAGAATTGGCCATGTACTATTCCATGTATTCTCATGTGTGAAACAATGAGTCTTGCATTATAGATGAACCATCAATGTGTGCTTACGTCTATTGTTCCATACGTTGACCCATCAGAAGTGGCCAGAACGGCCAGTTTCGGATTCAGAACGACCCATTCTGAACGTGAACAGTAAACGGTACTAGTTTGATAAATAAATTTACACAGTTACTATTTGGATAAATTTTTTTAAAATATTAAATGTTGGTTGAAGTTACTTATTTTCCAAACTCTGTTGGGTCATGATTTAAAATATTATATTAATTTATCATTACTTTTGAATAAACCCAATTAAATATTTTTGTAGTGCTTTCCATGTTGCAAGCAGCCACTCTAGAAGCTTTTCAAATATCCTTAAATATGTTTATAAAGAACAGTAAATTGACAAGATTAAATTTAGCGACCTTTTGTCTACATTAATCAATGAGAAAATGGAATGATAACTTCCGCAACTAAAATATATTTGTGTTTTTTTTTCTCCAAATATTGGAATTCAATTTTGTTAAGTTCCAATTCAAAATACTATTTTATTTTAAATATGAACTGATGTGACAGGAGAGAGTTATATACCTCTTAGTTATATAAAAAATAAAAAATAAAAAATACACATTTGATTCAAACTGAGTGATTGACAAAGTAACATTTTTTTTTGTTTTTTTTTTACAAGATATATTGACTATGTAATATTAAGTGATTATTTAAGTTTGCTTCCAAGGTATTGTATTTTTTTTTGTTTAAACATTTAGTGGAAATTAAATATAACCTATTGGCGTTAGTAAAATATTTTTAATCTTAATTTTCTTTTCTTATTGAATAAGTGTTTGTTTTACTTCTAGACATTCTTTTTCCTTCTTGCGTAGGGAAAACAAAAACTTATGAATTTGACCAAATCACCTATACTTGGGGAAAAATATTACAAAACAAAATATTTCATTTAAATTAAATAAACAGTAGATCACTTAAATAAATAATTTCACCATAAGTAATTTTATTTTTATAATTTTCCTGAAGAGATTTTAATATGTTTTCAACAATAATATATTATATGTAACATATATACACCTTAATATAACATTGCTCAGTTTAATTTATTTCCCAGCTTCTCAACATTGAGTTTCCGGTGTAAATAACACTTTAGATGTAGCCACTTATATTTTTATTCTTTGGAATCTTGTTAATGCATCTGCTTTACCAACTTGACTATTATTTTACCTGTTTTTCTTAATTATCTTAGCAATCGAAAAAAAAAACATTAATAAATTTTATACATAACGTATATATAGTACAAATATTTTACTTAAGAGTATATAACAAGTCTATAAATACAATAGAAAAAAGGATTTCTATAAACAGCCTCCGAGAATATGCATTTGAACCTCTCCAATAATAATATATTCATGTCATTCAATTAATTGGTTGACTTTCCTTAATTATAACTCAGATTCGAAATATATAACACCCTATACTTTCCCATTACGCATAAAAAATACGATTACAATATAAATTATCATGTTGTTGAACTGTTCAATCTTAAAATGGATAAGAAAAAAAATAGTTGTTGACCTGTTAAACGACTTCTAGCTATCAAACTACCATCAAATAACAACGTTCCTTTAGGCTTTAGTAAACCTATTAACAACTCTTTCTATTTATCAAACTATTATACAATAACAATCTTTTAGTAGACAACGCCAACTTAATATTATTCGCTGTCCAAAAAAAAAAAAGATTAATTACATTTCGAAGTTAATTATCATATTTAGACTACGACATTGTTTAATCAAACAAGCTTCAAGAATTGATTTGGATTTTTTTAAAGAGATTTATTTAATTATTAATCAATGCCTTTGGTTTTAAAGAAGTATTAATTAGAGTGCGGTCATACATAAATCTCATGTACAGGTGTTTACAAGCCTGTTTGATTCAAAATATGAAGGTTATAAAATCATATCCAAGATATATGTTTTCTAACTTTGAATCTGTTGAGATACAAACAAATCCCACATCCATAAAATAACACAACAAATAACAACTTATATAATACAAACATACTTCAATGATTAGAGGCTTTTTGGCTAATGACCAAAAGCAAAACTGTGAAGGCTAAGACCCAAAACGAACAATATCTCATCATTATGGAGTATGTTTGTATAATAACCTTATAAAAATCGACAGAAAATTTTGTCGCACATAGTAGTCTTACTTGCTCAAACATGTTAATTCTAGATCTAGTAAAGGAAACATACCCAAGAAATTATGTTATCATGTATGAGGTTTGATGGGTAGATGCTTATTATGTTAGAAAAAAGCTTTGACTTCATGCATTGCTGTTCCATTCTTTAGTTCTATTAAAGTCAACGAATGCACAAACAGAAACGTTAGCATGAGAGGGAACCAGTGATGTAGCTAACCTTTGAAGATTTTGTAGAGCACAATAGCACATGGGAAATCTAGACCAACCTTGAACCAAGAAGCAATGAATGGAAAGCTTCAAGGCTTTGGTTTTGTGCTCTCTTTTGTTGCACTTCATACCAGGGTTCAACACCCTTGACACCATTGCTCCAGGCCAATCACTCAAGGACAAAGAGACTCTAGTTTCAGCAGATGGGAGTTTTGAAGTGGGGTTCTTCAACTTTGGAGATCCAAATAGGCAATACTTGGGTATATGGTACAGGGGTATTTCTCCAAGAACAGTTGTGTGGGTGGCCAATAGAGATGCCCCAGTTGGAAAAGGGGTTTTGAATTTCACTGATGAGGGAAATCTTGTTATATTTGATGGCTCAGGGGCCATCGGGTGGTCCTCCAATGCATCAACAACTGCAAAGAAGCCTATTGTGCAACTCTTGGAGACTGGAAACCTTGTTGTGAAAGAAGAAAGCAACCCTGAGAATCTTGTGTGGCAGAGTTTTGATCTTCCTGGGGACACTTTGTTACCAGGGATGAGAATTAGAAGTAACATGGTAAGTGGTGGTTTTACTTCTCTGACATCTTGGAGAGACACACAAGATCCTGGTAGAGGTCTGTATTCATATCACATAGATACTCATGGTTTTCCTCAAATGGTGATCACAAAGGGAGGGGCATTGTTGTATAGAGTAGGTTCTTGGAATGGCAATATTTTTTCTGGAATTTCTTCTGAAACGCTGTACAAATACTTTAACTTCTCTTTTGTGATAACTGAGCAAGAAGTGTCTTATGGATATGAACTCTTGAACCAGTCATTTGTTTCAAGATATATGATCACAATAACAGGCCAAATACAACGTTTCTTTTTGTCTGATCTGACACATAATTGGCAGCTTTTCTACTCTGGCCCCGCGGATGGGTGCGACAATTATGCCATTTGTGGTGTGAATTCTAATTGTGATGCCAATAACTCTCCATCATGTGAATGCTTTCAGGGTTTCATTCCCACATCTCAAGAAAATTGGAATTCACATAACTGGTCTGAGGGATGTGTTAGGAGAGTTAATTTAGATTGTGGCAATAGTGATGGCTTTCTGAAGTATCAGGGAATGAAGTTGCCAGACACATCAACTTCATGGTTTGATAAGAGCATGAACCTTGTGGAATGTGAGAAATTCTGCAAGAAAAACTGCTCCTGCACTGCATATGCAAATTTAGATATTAGAAAGGGTGGAAGTGGATGCTTGCTTTGGTTTAACAACATTGTGGATGTGAGAAAGCTAACCTCTGGAGGACAAGACCTTTACATAAGAGTGGCAGCTTCTGAACTAGGTGCTAATATTTTATTTCCATCTACCTTCCTGATTTTGGCCTTTCCATTTAAACACACAAGTAAAAATATATAAATTCTAGTTCTTACTAAGCTGCACATCATGCTTGTTGCAGTAGTTTTTTGGGATACATGTTATAAATTTCATCCTTGTTGCAGGTATGAGGTAGATAACAGAACATGTAAGAATATGATGAGCATTATAGGGCATTGTCCAATACTAGTTTAGTTAGCAAAAAAAAAGTGTGGGGAAGAGTCTAATTGCTATCAACTTTCATTGTGAATATGTGCTTTAGATTTAGAGGCCTTATCCTTTAGGATTTCTAAATTGCTCAAATTTGGTGTGTTGGCTAATACTGCCTTTAATCTCTCAGGCCATAACAAAGGCTTGAACAAGAGGATGCTTGCAGGAATTCTGGTAGGCTGTATTGTGTTCATTTTGGTCATGATAATATTGGGAGTGACCATACTTAGGAGGAAAAAGCGCGAGAATCCAGGTAATTATATGCACTGATTTATTTTGTTAATATACTATGGTAAAAAAAATTAGTTATTCAGTACTTGCAAATATTATTTTCTGATAAAATATTAATGTTTGGTAACCATTAGCTTTTCCTCTTATGATAGAACTTATAATGCATAGTCATTTATTTAAAATCATTCTTCTATCCTCACAGGGAGGAACCAAATAGTTAGCTGGAAGAATCATACTGACAACACAGAGAAGAACCAAATTGACATACCAATTTTTGGTTTTTCAACCATAGCTAATGCAACTAGTAACTTTTCCGTTAGTAACAAATTGGGAGAAGGTGGATTTGGGCCAGTTTACAAGGTAATTTCATTAAATTTCTAACCTGCCATTGGATTTATCTTCTATGCATAACTTTCCTATAATGATTGTCAGGGTACATTGACAAATGGCCAAGATATAGCTGTGAAGCGACTTTGCAATAATTCAGGACAAGGACCAAAAGAGTTCATAAACGAAGTTGTGCTAATTGCCAATCTTCAGCACCGAAATCTTGTGAAACTTCTTGGTTGTTGCATTCAAGATGATGAGAGAATCTTGATATATGAATTCTTGATTAATAGAAGCTTGGACTACTTTATTTTTGGTATGAGATTTTATCCTGTCTCAATACTTAATTTTCTCTTGGTATGACCATCCAGTCATATTCTTCATGCTAACTAACTGAAAAAATTGTCAGATGAGTCTAGAAAAAGTTTGCTGCATTGGGCTCGACGCTTCCAAATTATTTGTGGGATTGCCAGAGGACTTCTTTATCTTCATGAAGATTCTAGATTAAGGATTATCCATAGAGACCTCAAGACCAGTAATATTCTTCTTGATGAAAACATGAATCCAAAAATATCAGACTTTGGTCTTGCTAGAACATTTGGAGATGAAGCTGAAGGCAAAACAAAGAGAGTAGTGGGAACTTAGTAAGCATGCTTAAATTTAACTTAAATGACATGATTTTGTGACTTTATAGTGCATAAAAATCACCTTGCCCCTCTTTGTGAGCTTCATTTCATTTTTGTATTGCAGTGGTTATATTTCTCCAGAATTCGCAGCCCGTGGGAATTTTTCAGTGAAATCTGATGTCTTTAGTTTTGGTGTTATCATACTAGAGATAGTTAGTGGAAAGAAGAATACAGAATATTTTGACCATCATGATCATGACCTTCTTGGACATGTAAGTCTAGTGCATACAATATTATTGAAAGCATATTTTGTGTTGAGAATATGTTTAAATATCTTTAGTTTGAAAAAAAGATAATTTCTCATAGGGAAGGTACTATTTGTAATTTGTGCATATTTTTCCTTATTGGATTTGATTTTGAACATTGATGCACATATACATGTATCCAAAACACAATTAGTGAACTCAAAATTCACAATTGATATTTTGATGACGACTAGGCATGGAGGCTGTGGTGTGAAGAAAGGCCATTGAAGTTGATAGATGAATCACTAGGTGAACCGATAACTCTAGCTGAAGATGTGTTGAGATGCATTCAGATCGGTCTTTTATGTGTACAAGACAGACCAGAGTATAGGCCAGATATGTCAGTTGTAATTCTAATGCTGAATGGTGAGAAACCATTGCCTAGGCCACGGGAACCAGCCTTTTATCCGCACCAATCTGGCTCTTCATCAGGAAATAGTAAACTGCAATCGACCAATGAGATCTCTACGTCATTGTTAGATGCAAGATAGTTTATATGGTGTTTATGACTTCAATGTAAATGAAATGGGTTCTCTCTCAATGTTTATGAATGAATATTGAATACACTACTAGTACTGTCATATGACAACCATATTGATTGATTATTTTGGTGCATGGCAGCAAACAACCAGTCCAAGACACAAGATATTTTAATTTAGCATTTTGTACCCGTATGGTCAATGAAATACATGCAGGCAATCCAACAAATCACTAATCACACTCCATACTCTATTTAAATCCCCATTTATTTTACCTGGAAAGAATTTTTTTACGAAAATAGTTATATGGAAGGCTTTAAATATCGTAGAGCCTCAACTTGCTAAGAGCGAACAAAAGACAAACAACAGATCTCAATACTACAGTGTGCTGACCTAAAATCAGTTGTGGAGATATGTTCCTTGAGCATGCATTGAAATGGGGTAATTTCCCTTCCCTTGATTTAACTAAGCAAATAGACACCCCAAAAGATACCTGGTTAGGTGTCTATCGTTCGATTGTTTAATTTATAATGTAGCATCAAAATTAATTTTTAAATCACTTGTGGGGAGTCACCTAACTTTTAAATAAGGCAAAATTAGTTAAAATTTGATTGAATTAGCTACCTTAACTGGTTGAAATAAATTGCAATGAAACTATTACTCAACATTTTTATCTTCATGTTTCATTAAACTTCTAATACATTTTATATTATTGCATGGAAATCCTTTCATATTGTTATCAGATTTGCCCAATTTGGTTTAAATGGTTGAGGTAGTTAACCATAACAGAAAGTATTTCGGATTCATCCCCATTCTCCGGTATAGCTTTAACAACGTTGTGAAAATGAAATGCAGATTTTGGGGCCAATAAAGATGTATATTGACTAAAGATCACAAAGGACTAACGTGATTTCAAGACAGCGGATAGTTGAAACTTGAAAGCACTACAATTTTTCCGAGACCAAAATCAATACAAACTATTTGTTATAATGTCTGAACCACGGCATGGAAGTGCTGATTCCCAGCCCCATCTGTTCTTGACCATGCCCACTCTTCTCCAAGATTAGGCTTGAAACCCAACCTATCTAGCAGACATTAAGCTAACTGTCATCCCATTATTTGAGTATTGTTTATGACTTCCTGGTGAAGAACTACCCCCAACCAGATTTCTGTTTGTGAAGAATCCAGGCACTTTTGGCTGAGGCAGTGCAGATTCACTACTCAGTATCAGAACCACAGATGACATGTTTGGCCTGTCGTCTGGACTTGGTTGCACACGAAGTAGCCCCACCCTCATGCCATGAACAACTGGATATAAGAAAATTCATTTACATTTCTAGCGTGATTTCTTTGACGTTTTTGGTTTAATTGCAGTATTTTTCAAACAAAGAATATCCCATTCAACAGATGACAATATAATTCCAAATGAATTAAACATTAAATAAATAAGCAATCTTTCTCCGGCTTGAATGCAGTACCCTAGTACCCTCACTAAATTCCTATGTTGAAGTTTAGCAATATGCATAACTTCATTTTTGAACTCCTGAAGTCCTTGTTTAGAATTCTTTGAGAGCCTCTTGACAGCTATTTCTCTTCCATCGTTCAGGGTGCCCTGGCAGTTATAACAAATTATGTATTGAAAAGATTCACATTTACTAAAATATGTTGCAGGTAAATTTACTTAAATTTCATCATTCAGTAGATGTATTATTGTATTCCAATTGTGAATAATTGTATGCAAGAATGCAGAATTATTGAACTTTTTTGTAGAAGTTCAGAAATGTGAAATTAAACTAGAATGTAAATTTGTTAGACAGAAAATTGATAAGCAGCTGATTTATAACAGTAAAACACATCGGAAGGATGCATGTAAAAGACATTTACATATGCTGTGTTTTACTGTTATAAAACACAAACTATCAGCAGAAACGAAAGCAATCAGTAGAGAAAATAAGCTTTCGCTCAAAAGTTAACTTCTTCAATACAAACTATTTACCAGAGACCTGTCTCATCAAATTCATATTTCTATCCATTTTTGGATCATATACGGGGTCAGATTTATAACATACTGTGCAAATTAAAATTTACTAATACCGACCCTTCTAGGGTCATGACGACATTTTATCATTTCATTACCTTATAAACTGATTCAAAAACGCCTTGCCCTAGTTTGTTGTCAGATGAAAAGTTATTTATTGCAGAACTAATTTCAGACAAATCAAACATAGGTAACTTTACTTCTTCCTTGTCGTGCTCCTTAATTATTACATTTGTGTGTCTTTCTCCTTAAATGTAGTCATTGGAGTGTAAAGAAAAAGGAAATTGAAATGTAGAACATGCTCAGTATTCAACATTTTTTCCTACCTCTTTCTGCCCCTCCCCAAATCTAACACAGAACAGAAGCAAACATGGATTACCCGCATTATTTTTGAGCCATTGATTTGGGGACTGAATTTACTTAGTGGTAAATATAAAGGCTTTTAGTTTTGATGATTTTGATCAATATTAGTTGTGATGCTTTAAGGATCTACTTGCTTGTTTGTGAATAATGAATTATCATTTTCGGGATTTTAAACAACTCAAGGGGAGAATGGGAAATCCAAGACCGTGAAAATCTGTCATGTAACAAGGTAAAACATGCAGGCACCAACTGAGAGCTTATATCTTGATCACAGACAGAGGTTATGCTAATTTGTGGATAAAAGTAAAACTGCATAAGTTTGCAGTAAATATAACATATAGAAGAATCAGGACACATAATTAAAACTCTTTAAGAACTACTTAACTGCCTTTCTGCCTTGTCTTCCACCGTTTACAAATGATGAAGGTTAGGCATAGGATTGTAAATCCAATAGACAACACACAGCTTATGATAACAGTCTCTTGCTTCCGTTTGTTTGATTTATGTGATTGCTTTCTTTCAAAAGCTTATGAGAGAAGAAGTTGGTAAACAGTGAGAATAAAAGAAGATAACAAAAGAAAGAAAACTTCCCAATTGGGAGACAATTTCGTACCTACTTTTGTCCCAGCCATCCTTATGTATATATTTTGATTGAATTCAGTGGATTCTTTTATGTCAATCAGATCATTAAACCAGAGTAAACACCCAATTGGACTTTTATTGACATCCAAGCCTGCATAAGCTGTACAGGAGCAATTCTTCATGCACTTTATCCTACAACCCTCAAGGCTAATATTTCTATGAAACCAGGATCTTTCTGTGTCTGGTAATGTTAACCCAGAAAACTTCAAAAATCCATCTCCTTGACAACTCAGCGATGTCCTCCTCACACAAGCACTATGTATATCTGCAATTTTGCGCACAAATCCATCCAAACAATTACATGGAGGGTGATTTTTTATATTACAGCTAGCATATGCTCCACATTTTTTATAGTAATCACAGTCATCCAAAGCAGTTCTCGAAAACTCTTTCCAACCATTTTCTTCATAAATCCAATAATCAGCTTTTAGAAATCCATCTGTTGGTAACACCACCCTAAAGGAGGCTGACTTGTTGATAACATCATATCTAACATATATCTCTTCCTCATTATAGACATAATTAATTACTACTGGACTATGGTCTATCTCCGGAGGTTCCGTATAAAACACAAATTAGAATATTTTGACAGTGCCTTCTCTCCTAACAAATTGTGGATATCCACCGGTATCAATTTGATAACTATATTTACCATGAGATGGATCATCAGAGCTGTTCCATGATGACAAATACCGATTCAGTCCCGTAATTAGATTTCTTCCAAACTTCTGTCCTGGCAAGATTGTGTTCACTGGATAATCAAAACTTTGCCACAGAGAATCGTTTGAGTCATTATTGTTGTTTCCATCCTGCACAATGAAATTTCCAGAATCCAATAACTTTGCAACTGGATACTGTGGTGACCTTGTTGCGTTGGAAGACTAGATGAGAGTGTTGTTATGGTTGAGAAGGACTAGAACTCCAGTTTCACTGAGCTTCAGAACCCCTGATGAGTCAGTAAGAGGGTTGTCTCTGTTGGCAACCCATACTACTGTCTTTATAGGAATTTTATAGTACCAAATACCAACATAACGATTTTTTGAATTTCCTAGACTGAAGAATCCCAATGCAAAGGTTTCTCAGGCTGAAACTATAATCTGGCCATCATTGATAGGTTGCACTGTATTAATAGTGTCTCTCACTGTGGTGGCTGCTAAATTATTTAGCATGAAAATGCCCAATAGAAGCAAGGTAAAGCCTTTCATCCGGTTGTTTATTCTTCTTCAATATATAGTTATATAGCTTCCTACAATCGCAGTGTTAAAACACCAACAAACTATGGCACAAAAGAAGCACTCCATCTGCATGAGCTTCTGCCAATTTCACCTTCAATAATTCTTCAAATATATGTGTTATTAATTTTAAGCAACATAAGAATGTCGATCGATGGAGCAAATGAGACCTTATAAAACTCCAGTTGAGATTTTATGGCAAGCACACCAAGTCTTTTATAGTTTAAAAATTGAATCTGGGTTGTCAATCTACAAGAACTTGGTAAATATTCTATAATTTCTATTATCCTAACTAAAACTTGTAATAAAAAGATGTACAATGGAATATAAACATGTTGATTTCAATATTAAGTTTGTAAAGAAGATAACATGTCAAACAATAGTAAAATTGAGAGATAACATGATAGGAATTTGTTGGGATTGAGTTTCACCGATTTCACTCTTATATTTTTCTAAGACTATCTATATATAATTTCTATTACTCATTGTTATTGAATTCTTTAAAGTCATTCCATATCAATTTTGCATTTAGAAATTCTAAGAATTTCAATTCAATAAATGATTTCTTTATTTATCAAATCAGAAATCTCGTGTTTAAGAATTTGTTCAACTGAGAACTCTAAATCTATTTTTAACCTTTAGAGTTATTAGGTGATTTGATTCAAAACAAATTTAGAAAATATTTTCTAACCAAAATTCAAATCAAAGATTAAAGAATAAATGATCAAGTCACCTTAGCATTAAAAATAGAATCAAACCACTAATATTAAATAATAAAACATCACAAACACACACACACACACACACAAACACACACACATGCACGCACGCGTGCGCACACACGCACACACGCACACACAGACACACACACACACACATATATATATATAAATCAAAAGGAATATATAAGAGTTTGATGAATTACATTCAACTCTAACAAAAAGAAAGATCAACCATTCATAGTGATGAGAGCCATTTGAGAATATATAGAGAAAGTGTAGAAGAAAGAGAAAGTAATCCTAGAATTCCCATTCTCAGATGATCCTCAGAATTCTTCTTTGTTCTACCTTTCTTGTCATGTTCGCTATGATGTTTCTCCCTATCTTCTCTCTCTTTTTCCTTAAAATATGATCAACAAATAAAATAGAGTATGTAGAAGAGAGAGCAAACTGCTCAGCTCTTTTCAAATGATTGAGTAGTTTGAAGAATCTTTCATAGTAAAGGAATTTTATTAATTGAACCCTTTTAGATCTGCTGAGTTCCTGGGAGACTAATTTTCTATCCTTCTCTGGACCTAATTTGTCTAACCCTTTTCAAATGGCTAAGTGGTTTTGATTCTACTCCAAGTCTTGCACTTTGTCTTTTATCCGTTTAGTTTTTTCCAAATAGTTGAGTGGTTTTGAGTGTTTTGAAGCTTTAAATTTTTCATTGACTCCTGCAAAACATGAAAAAAGGCTTATAAGCAAAATTTTCATCAACTCTTTTACAAGCTAATTAAATTACACAAAAACCTTTTGATTTTTGTAATAATTTTGGGATAAAATACAAATTTCTTTTAAACTTAGATAAGTGTCAAAATAGGCATAATTACTAGGTAAAATATACACTTATCAATTCCTATATATATATATATATAATCATATGCAACTATTTAACGAGGTTACTTAAAAATTAGAAAAGTAATTTACAAGTTAAAATGAGAATTTTGTGAGTGAAGAGATAAAATAAGGTACTCTAAAAATAAGTTAAAAAATTTAGTTATGTTTTATCATTAGAGTGAAAATAGTTATGTTTTGTCATTAGAGTGAAAATTAGAAAATATTGTTAAATCTTGAGTGGCAATAAGAGACCGACCAAGAAAATTTAAGAGCCTAAATTAAGTTCTTGCATCGAATATTCTGTTGAGAAAAAAAATTATTGAGGTAATGTCCATCGTTTTGTTCACTATTCAACATCATACACTGTTCCGGTTGGAAACATTCTTTATGTTGCTAACTAGTCTTCTAAATCCCAAGTGCTAGCCGAATTCTGTTTCGGGGAGGATATTTACAAAGAAACTTGGATACTCAAGTGAGTATTCAGTACAAAAACAATAAAGACTATTATATTTAATAATCGTACATACGTGTATTTATACAGATGTATTTGGACTTGATGAACCTTTTATCTTGGGATACGTGTAATTAAGATTTACATCCTTTTAGTTTAGCCATAAGTGTTGATTTGGTGTGACCCTTATTGTTTAGTTTATTCCTAATAATCTCGGAGTGTTGCGGACCTCTTCGGTGGACCTTGTGGCCGAGGGGGTATCTTGGCTTGTTTCGTATAGGTTACCCCTTCGGCCTTTGTCTGGGCCGATTAGGGGTGTTCGGTTTGGATACTCTTTAGGAGAGGTGGTCTTTTGGCTACTGTTCCGCTGGCGCTATGGCCGGAGGGTGCATTAGATTTTGGCTGCCTTTCAGCTAGGTCCGGGGCTGACGGGGGTCTTCGGTCTTGCTAGAAGAGGTGGGCGTATGCCTTACGCGTACATACACCATTAACCACAGAGGATGATGTAGAAGTCTTGTCTTGTGGACTTGAATGACCATGGATGATCATGTGTCTGTCTTTTTGTCGTAGAATGTGGACTTTGTTGTGCAAATGGTACCCACTCAAGATATGACAAAAATTATGTTGAAAATGGTTTAGTTATTTGACCAAGAAAGCTGTGGATAAGACTTATTAGGAGGGATAAATTTCTCTTCATAATTTTTACACCTCAAAATAAAGTCTCACCTAGGTCGGGAAATATTGCTAGTGAAAAAAAAATGACAAGAGGCCATATTTTGTCTTTTGATAAACTAAATGAAGATCTTGATTGATACATCTACTATTTTATATAATGTTTTGAAAACTCTTACCAAATTTATTCCGTCCAAATAAGTCACGGAACTAATTTTGAGAAGAATCAGTTAATGAACAACAAAAATCAAGCAAAAATGGTAAAGTTGACAATAACCTAATTCATAATATGTATTATTGGAAAAATGTTTAACATAAATTTTCTTTTTTTATTTTCAATGTTGTGTATTATTGAAACCTAAACCTAAATATTATTGTATCAAAAGAGGTCTAGAAGACATGTGTTTCGACCCTCATGATTAATTTTCGATGTCAATTAATAAGTCGATCGATGAGAAGATTAAAGACAATTGTGTCCAAGATGATGATATTGAAACACTCATGTCCTTAACCCTTAACCGCTTAATCTTCAAAGAATGTTTCAACACTTTTGATCGTTGAAGATACCAAAGTCAACTTATCAATTCACATGAATAATGAATATTGTTTCGACAGTTTTGGCCAATGCACATGTTGAAGAGACCTCTACCAACTCACATAAATGGCGGATGGTATCTCGACATCTTTAGCCATTGAAGAGGTCGAAGTAATCGAAAGGTCCTTAAGATGTGTTAGCATATATGACTAACAAAGGGTGTAAGACAAATTAGAATGTTAATTCATGATCAACAATCGTATTACCTAATTGACAATTAGGGAATAAAGTCCACCAAACTCAGGCCTAATATGATTAGTACACAAATAAGGTAAAATCATTATTCAATTATTACTCACCTAGATCTTTGTGTTCATCCTAACTTAAGTATTAGAGTGTTTTTTTATAGATATCCCACCCATTGGTATCTCCAATCAAACAAGAACTTAGCTTGAATTCAGATTCACTTGTGTACCCTCCAGACAAGTATAATTATTATATAATAAGTTTGGATTTTTGTATGTATTTTAAGTGTTAATTTATAAAATAGTACTTTTTATTTTAATTTTTTAGTATTATAAAGTTATAATATTATATTTCTTTAATATTATTTAATATGTTATTTAATTTTTATTATTATATTATTAATGTCAATTCATAAATAGTTCAAACATGATTAGATAGTTAAATCTTCACCTAGTATTTAGATTAATTTAATTGATATAGTTTTGAAAACATATTTTCAAAGCACTTGCATGCATTTTGTGAGTATCCATACATATATATTTGCCTATTTGGTTAATGTCATGGCACTGCCAAATATACCACAAATCGTTTAAGTAGTTTAGTTTAATGACGAATTTTGAATATCATTTCTCAAAGAACTCATAATACTTCACAACAATCATGAATTTCATTATCCTAAACTAGATCGAAAACAAGACTAACTCTTCTATGATAGATCATCGCACTACATTAAAATTAGTTTTTTTAGCAATTAATTTATTATTTAGCGGCCATATAAATGATCATTATTTTTTTTAATTTAGCGGCCATATAAATGACCATTATTTTTTTTACCAGCATTTAACTAATGACTGGTGTATCCAGTGTCGCTAATACTATTACCGGCATTTTATATAAATGCCGGTAAAGATCTAATAAATTGTCGAAAAAACTTATTTTTTTTAGTGATAATTCTAGTAGCCATTTTAAAGACTATTAAAAGTTATTTTTTTTCAATTGTCTCCTTTACTTTAAATAATTTATTTCTATAATTTTATTTTCTAAATTCATAACTTATATACTTTTTTATCTCTACTCGATGTGGGATTTATAAGATGAGAGTTATCTTTTATTTTTATATTTTTTAATTTATTTTTTTAATTGTCTTGTCTTTTAAGAGATGTGAGATTTATAAGGTAAAAGTTGCTCTCTAATTATTTTATAGCACTATTGAACTTGGTAACAATGAGTGATTTGATACCAATTTAGAATAGTGAATTAGGAGTCAACCCTATAAAATGAACCTGTAAGATGATAGTTATTACTCACTTATATATTATTTAATTATCTTATCTCTAATCGATATGAGACTTAAATTTTTTCTAATAAATAATTGTCGCTAATAGTAAACTTTAGTGTAATATAAATACATTTTTAGTAGTATTATATATTAGCCATTAATATTTTTACATATGGCGGTAATTAAATTATTGTCATTAATAATAAATTTTGTTGTAATCTCGTTGAGCATGAGAATTTCCATGCTAAGCATGACAAGATGCAAAACCTATTTTAATTTCTCTAGTGCCCAACCATCCAGACTTAACATGATTTTGGGTTCCTCCCTCTTGAATTCTTCATTAGGGCTTGCCTTAAAAAAATGCTTCTTTTAAGGCCTTTAATTATGTTCTACTACTCATTTTGTGGTACACTTGTGATATCTAGCATCGTCTGCCACATCCTCCACCCTTACTCACCTACACTCTCTCACCTAGACCCATTATTCAATTATGTTTAATTTCAAATGTTAAACTATTTTAATTTCATATTTTTCTACATTAGTCTTTCATCTACACTCTAATATTATATACACTACTCTTTTAATAATTTATAACTAAATTTTGGAATTAAATCATGTATTTTTTTTAAAATGTAAATAAATAGAAATCTGTCATTTTTTTTAAACCTACTAATCAACCCATTATTGATTGGTTCATATTGCAATTTTTTTTTAAAATCCTATTCAAACCAAACCAATCAAGTTAATTCGTTTAAAGTTTATTTTACCACAAATTTGAACAAAATTGATCCATTAAACCCTAACAAAAACATTATATTAAGAATTCACATATATTTCTATGTTAATATTAAAATAAATTTTAATTTTAATTTTAAATTAATCAATAACTTAATTGCATATTAGGCACAAACACATGTATTATAGTGATGGTGACGATGATGGCAACAACAATTAAGTAACAATGGAGACTATTGTAAGAGAGAGATGAGAAAAAGAAAATTATTTCATATTTTATCGAATAATTAAATGTTAAATATTTGTCTCTCTATTTTTTTTTATGTAGTTCCATAATCTTTTGTTTAATTTAACATAGAACAAATATATTTGTGTTGTCATAACACATTTTTTTTAACAAACCAAAATGAATAATTGATGACAAGAATAGATATAATGTTAAAAATAATTATAAGATAAATGTAATGTTAGAGATTTTATATTAACTAATAAGACGATCATGATAATATATTTAACTAAGAAACATTCTTCACCTTGCATGTTATGTTTCTAAGACATTTTTTTAAGCACAAACAATATACATGACAAAATCGTGTGAAAATTTATGATCATATGATCCATTCTCACTTGAAAAAACTATTACAAATTTAAAAAATGAATTAAATCAAACAGTCAACAATGATCAATCGGTTGAGAAGTCAAATCTGCAAAGAGCACTAAAAATGACTTGGAAATACATATTCTCTCCACCAATAAGATTCATAAGTTCTCCTTCAATGGCCAGAATCACGTTTATTAGTGCGACATTTTAATCTCTTCCCTATCAGTGTCATGTTTCACATTTCTTCTCCTTTAGCACTTTTCTTGACGTTTTTAATTTTTAAATATTTGTTTATTGAAATAACTTGTGTCCGATCTCACGCACAAATACATGCATATAAAAGCAATTGCTTCAGTGAGTACTAACTCACCTACCTACATTCACGTATGCAAGATTTAATTTGAAATACAACTAGGGATGGCAATAAGGTCTTATGAGGGCGGGTAATAGTAAATTTGTCCTCATTTTGCTAGATGAAAATTGTTCTCATATTTACCTCATATCTGCGTGGGTATCTATTGAGCAGGTATCTATGAATTTCTTGAATACTCACGGATATTCATAGATATCCATGGATATTTATAAATTTTTTAAGAAATTAAAAAAATTATATTACAAATAATTTTAAATCTATATTTAATGTCATTGAAATATTAAAAATAAAAATTTAATGTTAATTTTGAACTTGTATTTAATGTTAATTTTGTTGAAATAATAATAAAAATGTAAGATAATCAATGACTTAAAATACATTAATCTCACAAGTTAAAGTCTCATCACAAAGCTACAATAATTCAATCTCATAATTCCAAACGAAAGTAAACAACTTAAAATACATAAATTTTATTGGTCCAATCAAAACTAGAAAATTAATCAAATTATATCCAACATAATTTTATACCATGCTTAACACATGTTGGTAATTTCATCAACATCACTTTTGTAAGAAAATAAGACGAGAGAGTGTACTTTTAGGGTTATATAATACAAGAATAATTAAGATATTTAAGAAATATTATTAAACGGGTACCCGCGGGTATGAATATCATCATACCCGCCCCCGCCCGATTTAAAAACGGGTAAAAAATTACCCGTCTCCATTATCCACGGGTACCCAATTAGCCTGGCCATTTATTATCCGTAACGGATTTTACCTGCAAATACTCGCGGGTGCGGGTATTTTTGCCATCCCTAAATCCAACCTATCTAGCAGACATTATGCTAACTGACATGTCATTGTTTGTGTATTGTTTATAACTGTTTGATGAAGAACTGTCACCAACCAGATTTGTACTTGTAAAGAATCCAGGCAAGTTTGGCTGTGGCAGTGCAGATTCACTGCTCAGCATCAGAACCACAGATGACATGTTTGGCCTGTCATCAGGGCTTAGTTGCACACAAAGTAGTGCCACATGAATTGATCTTAGAGCTGCAGTTAAATTGAGTGAGTCTCTTATTGTTGAATCAACTATTCCATAGCAATTTCCTTCAGTAAATAGTTTCCATGCCTGCATATTTTCCAAACCATTTGGTTAACAGCAGAAGCATATCAAAAGTGGTTAGAATTCAAGTTCATTCTTACATGTGCCAGAAGATTATCTTGATGACAGAATCCCTTATTTCTCTTCCCACTCATTATCTCCAATATCAACACACCAAAGCTGAAAACATCTGACTTTGTTGAATAAGCTCCATCGATTATATACTCTGGCGGCAGATAGCCACTGCACATCAAATGCACCAAAATAATTTTAAGACAAAGCCAAGTCATCATAGAGTCTATTTGAATGTAAGTCAAAAGTGCTTTTGAGAACTTCTCTGTTAGAAAAATCATTTTATTTTTTATGGAGAAGTTCTCAAAAGCTCTTCTAAACTTGTATCTAAACATGCTCATATTCATACTATAGAGGTAACAATAGACACTTACTAGGTTCCAACTACATGCTTTGTGGTTGCTTCAATTTCATTTCCTCCAAAGCTTCTAGCTAGTCCGAAGTCTGAGATTTTCGGGTTCATTTCACTGTCTAACAAAACATTCCCGGCTTTGAGATCTCTATGAACTATTCTATGCCTTGAATCTTGATGAAGATAAAGAAGACCACGAGCAATTCCATTGATAATGAGCAAGCGCCTCGGCAAATCTAGTAACATGCTCTTCTTTTCATCTGTTCAAAAGGTGGCCAAGTTGGACTATTTTTCTGTTAAGTTTTCTAAAGTTTGAACCATGATACAAAGAGTATGAATCCAAATAAGCCATATTAAATCACAGATTTTGATGTGTCCTAGCACTAAATCAGGATACAAATTCATTAAATGAGATATGAGACCTACAAATTTGTGATTTTTAATAAATTTTGACGGATAATAGTGTATTAGAGAGAGTATTGCTAAGTGCTAACACTATATTTATCGTCCTTCCTCATGCCACGAATAACTGGATATAGGAAAATTCATTGGCATTTCTAGCATGATTTCTTTGATGTATAAGTCTAGTTGCAATAATTTGCAAACTAATATCCCATCCAACAACAAATGATAGTATAACCCAAATGAATTAAACTATGAATACGAAGGAAACAAACCAAATATGAAGGAATCCAAGCTTTTGTTGGGCATAAATTCATAAACAAGCAATCCTTCTCCTGCTTGAATGCAGTACCCTAGTAGCCTCACTAAATTCCTGTGCTGAAGTTTTGCAATATGCATAACTTCATTTCTGAACTCTTGAAGACCCTGTCTTGAATTCTTTGAGAGCCTCTTGACAGCTATTTCTCCTCCATCGTCCAGGATGCCCTGAAGGTCAACGAATTATGCATCGAAAAGGCTTCATTTACTAAAATATGATAGAGGTAAATTTATTGAAATTTCATCATTCAGTACACTGTTCCAAGCTTGAATAATTTTTTCCTTTAGTTAGAATGAAGAATTGAGGAAAAGTTTTTTAGGAGCTCAATGACTTGACATATGAAATATGATGAATTAAAATTTGACAAGCTGCGGATAGATAACAGAAAAATGTTTTGAGAACAAGAAATAAAGTCAAAATAAGGTAACGATTTTTTTTTTCTAATAAGAAAACGAAAAAAGAAAATATTTTCTGAAAACAAATAGTCCCTTAATTTCGTCCAGAAAACTATTGGTTGTAAGACCTGTCTGGTATAATTAGCATTTCTAACCATTATTTGACCATATAGTGGTAAGATTTATTGAACACAACACAATATAAAATTTATTAAATGTCAAGCATTCTAGGCTCATGGCGACATTTAATTATCATTTCATTACCTTATAAACTGATCCAAAACCACCTTCCCCTAGTTTGTTGTCAGCTGAAAAGTTATTGGTTGCAGATATAATTGTAGACAACTCAAACATGGGTAACTCTAGATCTTCCTTTTCGTCCTCATTTATTACATTTTCATCTTTTTCTTGATCACCTTTCAATTTCATCTTTCCTGCAATGCAGTAATTGGTGTGTGTAAAGAAAAATATATTATGCAAAAAGTAAACATGCCTGCACTGACCGAGAGCAATCTTTATCGCAGATAGAGGTAATCCTAATTTGTGGAATAAACAGCCTAAGTTTGCAGTAAATATAATATAGAAGCATAATTTAAACTCATAAGTAAGAACTACTTAACTGCCTTTCTGCTGTGTCTTCCACCTTCTATAAATCCTGAAGGTTAAGAATAGGATTAAAATTCCAATAAACAATACACAACTTATGAAAACAATTTCTTGTTTCAGGATGTTTGATTTGTGTGGCTGCTTTCTTTCAATAGCTTCTGCGAGAAAATAGATGTTCGTAAACAGTCGCATAACAAAAGAAACAAACAAGAAGCAAAAGAAAGAAAACTTGCAGATTTAGAAACAATCGCATACCTATTTCTGTCCTAGCCATCCTTATGTATATATCTTCATCAACTTCAGTCAATTCTCTCATGTCAAACAGATCATTGAACCAAAGTAAACACCCACTTGGCCCTTTACTCACATCCAAGGCTGCATACGCTGTACATGAGCAATTCTTCGTGCACAATATCCTGCAATCCTCAAGGCTAATGTTTCTATTAAACCAGGATCTCTCTGTGTCTGGTAATTTCAACCCTGAAAATTTCACAAACCCATCTCCATGACAACTCAGTGAAGTTCTCCTCACACAACTACTATAAATATCTTTAGTTCTGGGAACAAATCCATCCAAGCAACTACATGGAGGGATGTTGGTTATATTACAGATAGCATTGGCTCCACATTTGTCATAGTTATCACAGTCATCCACAGGAAGTTGTGCATGCAAGCTCCATTTATTTTCTTCATTATTCCAATAACTACCCTTGATATATCCATCTGTTGTTAACACCATTCTATGAATAACTGACCTCATGCTATGCTCAAATCTGAAATACAACTCTTCCCCATCAGAAATAAAACTAAATCTAGTAACATCATTTTGTTTCAATTGAGGTACCCCACTAAACTGAACACCATTCCATGATCCAAAACGGTACCTTTTGACACTGCCTTCTCTTAAAACAATTTGTGGATATCCACTAATATCAATTTGATATCTATATTTACCTTGAGATGGATCATCAGAGCTATTCCATGATGACATGTAACGGTTCAAGCCCGTGATTAAATTTCTTCCAAACTTCTGTCCTGGCAAGATTGTGTCCACTGGATAATCAAAACTTTGCCACAGTAAATCTTTACCATCCTGCACAATGAGATTTCCAGAATCCAAAAGCTTTGCAACTGGATACTGTGCTGACCTTGTTGTGTTGGAAGACCAGATGACACTCTTGTTTTGGTTGAGAAGGACTAGAACTCCAGTTTCATTGAGCTTCAAAACCCCTGATGAATCATTGAGAGGGTTGTTTCTGTTGGCAACCCATACTACTGTCTGTGTAGGGATCTTATTATACCAAATGCCAACATAACGGTTCTTGGAATTGCCTGGACTGAAGAATCCAAGTGCAAAGGTTTCTCCAGCTGAAACTAAGATCTGGCCATCACTGATAGGTTGCACTGTATTAATAGCTTCTCTCACAGTGGCAGCTGCTACATTACTCAGCAAGGCAAGGAAGAACAGAAGCAAGGTAAATCCTTCCATTCTGTTGCTTATTCTTCTTGAATTTATATATATGTTCAGTTGCTGCAATCATTTGAGTTCAAATACAGTGTTGGAAAATCAACAAACTGAGGTACAAAATCTGAAGAACTCTGTCTCTTTTGAGTTTGTGGATGAGACAGGTGCACTCCATAAATTTAAAGTTGGTCCACACAGATAGCAAGCTGGCATTCTTAGTAGAGAAAGCAGCTCATACGTGTTCCACTAGATGTGAAGAAAAGAGTGGTAGTGGTAGGTATCAATTTATGTCTACATTTCATACATAAAGTTGAGGCACATGCATGCCGATTCTTTAATTAATGAATAGAGACGTTGTGTGAAACGAAGAAAAACTTGAAAATGGTTGCGGCCATTAATAAGGAAATCATCATGATATGAATCATCATTCCAGTTAACCTTGATAATTTTTCTTTAAGCTTGATATTGGGATATGAAATATAACATCTTATATGCTCTATATATAAAAATTAGATGTATTTTGAATAAGAGCGTTTTCCAAAGTTATTATCTAACAGAGCTTTTCAAGAAATAATTTTCATTAGTTGGGTTTTATTTTGTTGGGTATATTTCGATCTATTCTTCTTTTTCTTTATTTTTACATAAATTTTTTATTAAAAAATTATCAATAATGAAAAATAATTTTTATCACAGTATAAATCATTTTTCATAAATAAATAAAATATAATTTACAAATTCATCAATATTTATTCATTGCAAATTTTAATTATAATTAGGGGAAGCCTCTCTATGACTGAGTTGTTTAATAATAAAATATTATTTTGATAAATCACGTAAAAAAATTTATTACTTAAAACTAAATAGAGTTATTTATATAAGCAATTATTCCTTATGAGCTGCTTAACATTTGTGTGTAAATATGTAAGAAAGAAAATATGAGATATTGAATTGAGAGAAAATATATTTGTAGATTAAACAGTTTTTGAATAGAAATTTGTATTGGAGTGAGAATTAAAAGAGTTGCTTAAAATTGGAGTAAGATGTAAAGACACACTTAAAAAACAATAAAGAGAGTCGTTTATTTGAATAACATTATGAGGTGTATAAACTAAAATATAGTTGTATAGACAAAAAGTACTTACTTATTTTAAATCATTATACAAATAATTATATACTTCCATATAACTTATTTCTTATACTGATGAGTATTTGCAAATATCTGTTAAAATGTTAAATTTTAAATAAAAAGAGTAAGAAATAAAATAAATTAAAATAAATAATGTTGAAACATTTTTTATTTTTAAAAATAAATTTTTAATATATATATATATACTAACATATATATATTTATAATAAAATTAAATTAAACTAAATTATTTTATCTATAAATTAAATATTTTTAAAATGCAAGTAGCACAAGTATGAGTGTTTACTATTTGTGTCTCCTTTATTATTAAATGAGTCTCCATTTAATTATCTACTAAAAACTCATAACAGGTTTTATTTATATATATATTCACGTGTCCAAGGTTTGTTTTCCCATCTCTAGTCACCGAAATGAGAAGACACAACAAAGACCACATGTCGCGATTTTTATTGGCGCATGAAAAAAGATGCGACCCCTCAACACATTTTTTGTCTTCTCTTCTTCGATGACTTTGCATGTCTCTTAAAAGGTCTATTCCGGTCGAACAATAAATGAGTGTGTTGAAATGGATTGCAGAAATTGGGTTCTCATTTAGTTGGCGAGTAGAGTAGGTGAATCTAATACAGTTGAAGGGACTCTCATGGATAAGTTATGTCTTTGAGGTTGTTGTCAATCTTCACAAATCACAATCCATTTTGAATTCTCAAATTTTTATAATCATGAAACATTATTAGCTTCAAAGTGATGATCGACACCATTAAAATACTAAGTTATTGGTTAAATTAGTAAATTATTAATTTAACTGCATAAACTACTATATTATGAAATATATAATTTCATATCAAAAGTGTAGTATGAAAATTACTTTTGTAACAAGTAAACCAAAATAATTTGTTGGTTCAGTTGTTCGTCTTTCTTAAAAGTTCAAGGAAATTTGGGTTCTATACAGTTGCTTAGTACAATTTTTCCCCACCCCTTAGGGTTAATCTTTTCTTAATTATTTATTCAACAACGTGCTATGAGGGGGAGAAATTCAACTAATCACTAAATGATATGTTCAATCTGCAAGAAAGATTTATTTGATTAAATGTCATATAGAGACTTAATGTCATATAGAGACTACCTTGTAGTTTAGGGCCATTTAATAGTTTTCTTAAGAGTGTTCCTGATTCTGCATCAATTTAATCAACAGAACAATTTCAACCAGATGAGTAATCGGTTGAACTGCAAGATAGCACCAGGTTGATGGTGTCATCCTAGACAAATTGCATCTCCAATCTAATAAGATGACCGTACCACTTAGAGGTTTGGTCTCTAGTTCAATTGTTCGAACAATCTGATTCATGTTTGATAATACTGCGTGTGTTAGCACTATACACAAGGACTTATTTAAATGATGAGCAAGTTCAATAACATATAATAAGTTTGTCCCAAATAAAAAATTCAAACAACAAAACAATATATCAAGTTTTTAATAATAATATAATGACCTGGATCTCACAAAGAGAGAAAAAGCAAAAAGTGGAGAGAGCTATCCAGAAACTTTATGAGAAATAATATTAGCATAAATATGTTTGTTTTTAATTTATGTAAGATAAAAAGGTTTTGATTTAGATACTTGTAAAAAAAAATTATTTGTTTTCTATCCGTTTATAAATATTATTTTTAGTTCTCATATATGAACAAATTTTCATTTTCATTTTCATAAAATATTTTTTTCGTTAGAATTTAAAGTTATTATATTTAATCTAAAATCTTCAAACACATCTCAAATACAATTAAAGAATCATACAATCATTTTATACATTGATTCGAATTAGTGAAACAAAGTATCAAATGATTTTTAAATTTTCTAAAAATTTGCAGATTTGATTTATGTATTAAGAACTTTAAATTGAATGGTTGAATAGTTGAAATTTGATGTAGAAATAATTATTTTAAGATAAATAAATAATATTTATTTTAAGGATTCACAAATAATTTTAAATGTCACATGTTGAAAAAAATATATCACAAATAAACAATTATAGATACCATTTAGAATGATTACTTAATATTCTAACAAACTATAAGTAGTTAAAATGGATCATATAATAATAGGAACTAAAATAAAAAGTTTTAAATTTTAGAAAGATAAAAAAAAATTACAAAAACCAAAAACAAAACTTTCATTTTATGAAAATTAAAAACATATTTAAACTTATTATATTTATAATGAAGAAAACAGTGTTTCTAAAATCACTATGTCAAGCGATAAGCTGTGATCAAATATTAAAAGACCAAGTAAACAAGATCAATGTAAATCAGTTTCAACCTTTTGAACTATCCTCAAAATATGCAACATAATGTGCATAAATTTAATCAACAGAGAAATAATGCATGAAATCACACAACTACCAGTAAACACTACGACGAGTTTGTAGTGTAAATAGTAGAAATATGTAAGGTTCAATACTTAGAAATAGAATTTAAAATATAGTTTGGTGTGGAATCGGGTAACATTACTACCCCCTTAGGGTTGAGAGCCATGTTTTAAAGTTGTCATCCACATTTGCCATGTACACTGGCCCAGGATTGAGAGTGATGGACAAGTTCGGAGATACCGCCCAAAATGATAGCAAACACCCAGTTTCAGCAGCTTGCACCCACGAGCAATCATCAACAAACCAAATTGTAATTTTCTCCATTACTTCACCACTTGTTATTATGTATTTAACAAATTCCACCTCAGATCTTTTTCCTTCATATCCCCTTATGCTAAGGGTCTTTAGTTGGTGATCCACACACTCACATGGCTCCTTTTTACTATAGTAACCCCTTGCATTATCCGCATAATCTTGATCATTGTAGTAATCCACTGCATCATCATTAACCTATGCAGTAGGAAGAAACTCTTGTGAAATGCATTTAGTCTTTAGACTTGTATAATAATGTACTCATATAATAATAATAATAATAAACGAAAAAGAATGATATGAATAAAGTAAGTGTACCCGGCTATTAATTTCAAGGTTTTGCAACTTAGGGCATGACTTAAGAGTTGAAAAGAAAGTCATGGTATCCGTAATTGTTTTCAAATCAAAATCAATGCATAGAGTAGCCAGGTTCTCAAATATGCCAGCAAAGCTTGAAGGTGAACCTTGAGGACTCTGAGACAATAAGTAAATACAGCTATAAAAGAAATAGCAGGAAATATCAAGCAATAATATTATTACACATCCTACAAATTAAAAGTCATATTTATTTGGACATGAAATCATATATATAGACTCAAGTTTTGTGGTAATCAAATTGTTGGGATCACACATGATAATAAACATAAAATTATAATGCCAATGTGCTAGCAATGACACAGAAAAATTAATCTTGTCTTCATTTAGTAAGTTTTTCTCTGATTTTGCAATCTGTTTCTGCAAAAAAGATTGATTCAAACCCAATTAATTTATGTTTTCACTAGATAGTTATTGTGATAGGGTCGTCTAATATGCTACGGGTATTTCAATGGGATTTTTGTTGGGGTTATTTTATGATATTTGTTTGAGGGGATATTTTATGAGAGTTATTTTTATAAGGTTATTACATAAGTATACTCCACAATGATGAGTATACTCCACAATGATGAGATATTGTCCGCTTTGGGTTCAAGTCATCATGGTTTTGCTTTTGGTCATCACCCAAAAAGCTTTTCTCAATCATTGAAGTATATTTATGTTATATAAGTTGTTATTTCTTGTCTTATTTTTATCTATGTGAGACTTGTTTGTATTCCAATAATTTTTTTTATCAGAGGAGCATAATATAATTTTATTCATGAGTATCTATTTATAGAGAAAATTTGTTATACAAAATCAAATATTGATATTATCATATTTTAAAAATAGGGAAACAAATCCTAAAATAATCAAAACAGATTAAATCTAAATATTTGAAATATAATTCTCCTAAAGATATTTAGGCATATTCCCAACATTCCTCTTTGACTGAATATCTTTATCACCTAATTTGAATTTTAAAATCTGTCTTTTCTCTTTTTGATCAATTTCTTCTTTTTGCGATTTTTGTTGCAATCTTTCTTGAATGGGACCACTTTAGCATTTGTCTTGAACTTCTCTTTTGAAGGTGGTTTTTCATCATCTTCATTCTCCTCTTGATCATCAAACTTCTTTTGAAGATATGCATCTTTGTGCTCTTCACTTGTATCTTCATTTATAATTGGCTCCTCCTTCTCCAAATTTAAAGCAAAACTCTTGTCTTTCATATGAACATTGAACACTTTTTTGTTGTGTATATCTTTAATCAAACAATTTTTATCTTCAAATAACACTTTATAGCCTTTTATAAATGAAGATACAAGTGAAGAACACAATGATGCATATCTTCAAAAGAAGTTTGATGATCAAGAGGAAAATGAAGATGATAAAAAACTACCTTCAAAAGAGAAGTTCAAGACAAATGCTAAAGTGTTATCAGAGCTGCCTGGTTGGATGCGGTAATAACCCTCATAACTCATAACATATAATGTGATATATAAAGACAAATTCCGTTACATGAAAGGTTAGGTCTCTTGTTTGAGAGGAGGATTGTTGGGATACAAACAAGTCTCACATCGATAAAATAAGACAAGAAATAACAACTTATATAACACAAACATACTTCAATGATTGAGAGAAGCCTTTTGGGTGATGACCAAAAGCAAAATCGTGAGGACTTAGGCCCAAAGCGGACAATATCTTATCATTGTGGAGTATGTTTGTGTAATAACCTTATAAAAATAACTCCCATAAAATATTTCCTCAGACAAATATCATAAAATAACTTTAACAATTTTTTACCTGGTTCATGATGGGTTAGGTAGCAACTTTATTAGATTTTAGGGGAGGTTCAATTTGGTTAATTGACTCATATATCTTGTAATTCTTATTTTACCTCTTTGCTAGGACACTTCTAGTCAAACTTATATCAATAAAGTTTTTTTTTCTTATAAGAAAATAGAAATAGGATTTTGTAATTGCTCGGTAACAATATAGTTCAAGAGCATCTTAAATTTAAGATACTATCTTAAATTTTTTCTCCATTAAAGACAATCTAAGTGGCAATACAAATTGCATATTTTTAAGCATTGTATTTTATACAAGATACAGTTGCCTAACTTATAAAAAATGTTATTTTGTGGGTCCAGCCATTTAACAAAATTATGTATAAATAAAAATATAAAAATGAAAGTATTTTATAGGTTACTTAAAATTTTACTTTTAAAGTGAAAGTATGATTGCTTATAAATTGTTTAAATATGATGTGACAATATGAAATTCTATAACGATCAAAGCGAGTCAAAATTCATGAGTCAATCTAACTTATTATGAGTTTGAGTTAAGTTAAATTTTTTTTGACTCATTTCAATTATTAAAAAAAAAAATTTGGTCTAATCGACCACAAATCAATTTGTGATGAGTTGGGTTGACCCATGAATTGATTCACTTAATATAATTTTTTTTTAATTGCCAAATGTTAATTTATGTTATTATACATTTATACAAAAAACTAAATTTTGTACATAATAATTATGAATTATGATAATTAGTGTCAATTTGACATTATTTGGTTTACTTAATTTTTTTTACTTTTTTTTGTCTTATTGCTAATATAGTTGTAATTCTAAAATATAAAATTATAATATGTAATTTTTTAAAGCTCATTAAATTTTTATATTTTTTTTAAATTTAAGTAAGTCAATCCATTTAACCTATCTCATGATGGATTAGATTGAGTTAATTATTTTTAAGTTCACCAAAAAGTAAGTTAATTTGAGTTAATACACCTATTATAATTCATGATGAACTAAGTCGAGTTATCCACTTTAACAACTTCATAATTTTAATAGTGATATAATAAATATATGTATAAGATGCACACATTATAGATGCAAAAAAAAAAAATAACCGAAGAGTTTAACCCTTATTAAAAAAAATGTTGAATTTCAACACAAGTAAATGGATTTAAGCATATTATCCTCCCTTGAAATATAATAGGGTTTTTGTCATGGAGATGTGTTGGAAATTAATATAAAAGTATTAATTTATTTATCTTCACTTAATGGCTAAAACATTTTATAGGAAATTTCAACTACTATATATGATGGTATAAAATACCAATGTAACTAATATACCTATGCAACAACATCATGTTATCATTGTAAGAATCCACAGGACAAAGTTTGGAATAGAAATGAAAGACTTACCTCATTGCTGCTAACCCAACAAAAATATTCCCCACTATTTCTCAAATGACATCGAGAACGAAGCAGATGAACCTTTGGGGTCTCAAAAGTAAGATTTTGAGGCTTACACACAACATTATCAATCTCAAAGACCTCAAGGTTAATAGCATAAACTTTAATCTCATTCATCACCATTTCACAAATCCTGAAAAATTTGAGTCTTGGACTATTGATCTTAATCTCTCTCATCATCTCGCAGTCCTCGTGTGTTATATTTTCAAGAGTTAAATCTTGGAGACACATGCTACAAGACAAAATCCCTTCCAAAACATCTTTCTTAACACTAATATTCTTCAGAGTTAAAGTTTTAAGAACCTGACCAGCAACATCACTAGAGGGTGATGTCTTTAGATAATAGTTCTTCAACTCAAGTGCCTCAAAGCCTGAGAAGATCTCAAAAGCCAAAGCCAAAGTCCTTCCATGATATACCAAAACTCTTGGCAAATTTTCCACCAACCCCCAACCAACAATGTCTTCTTTCTCCATGGAAAGCTGCTTCACCTTATTTTTCTCAAGGAGCTTCTTGATCCACTCAACAGCTTTGCCACTCGCACAACTTTCTGGAAGGTGCCGAATAGTGCAACTTTTCAAGGGACCAACGTGAGAATCCAGCAACGAGTTAATCATCATTTCTGCTTTTGCAATTACGTCCAAGTCTTCATGATCATCATCTGCCCCAAGACGATTAAAAGCCATCTCAAGACGTGTGATAAGGTATATCCCACAAAGATAGGCTTGGATCAAAGGCTTCAGCATTTGGCTTTGATCGATGCTAAGGTGTGAAGCATGCTTCCACACCATTTTCCATCGATGGGAAAGAACACATGTTCTCACAGGTTCAGAGTCAGGAAGGAGAGAAATGATAACTCCAAGAAGAGAATCAGGAAGAGTGCTGATGAAATCTACTCCTTCATTGAAACTCGTTTCTTCGGCTTCTAAACCTTTCATTCTTCTTCTCTCTATCTTTTGTCTATTCTGTCTATCGGTGTACATCGTCCTGAGTAGAGGTAATGTATATAGTTTTTTAATAATTATTATTATTTTATAAAAACAAAGCTGAGATGTAATAAAAATATACAAATACCTTATTAGCAGGAAAATACAAACATAAGAAAAAAAATTCATAAATAATAAAATTTAGATTAAATTACACTAATCTTTATAATATTTAAGATTTTTTTTATGGAGAAACAACAACACAATAACAACACAGAGCAAACTCAAACAGTTAACGCAACGGAAATAAATCTCCCTAACTTGTAAGAATCTATGAGGAGAAAAAATCAATGAACAACAATAATAAATTACTAAAATCACACATAAAAACACCAAGATTTTAATTAACATGAAAAACTTCTCAAAACAAAGGTAAAAACCACCTAGACCAAAGAAATAGTTTCATTATGACCAATAAAGAGTACAAAGGAGTCTCAACCAACTGCACAAAATAGTGCTAACACCCAGCCAAACAACAAAGTTATAAAGCTTACAAATAGAGAACAAGATGAAAAACTCCAAATACACAACTACAATACAAACCAAAAATCTCCCAACTCAAACCTCGTATCAACGATCCAACCGTTCAGAATGAAGAATCAGATGTCCCAAACCTGCTGTCAAATTTTTTGCCCAATCCAATAGTGAACGAATCTGCAGTATCGATTTTACTATCATAGCTTTGTGTAAAAACGAAAATGACTTTCTCTCTTCCTCTCTCTCAAAGTGCTGGTGTTCAAAGTGACTTATGACTTTTCCTCTTTCTTGCCTCTTATCTTCAGACTCTCTCTCCACTTAGTTAAGTGAGACATCAGGTGAGCTTCTCAATTTTGAGCCTTTTTTCTACATAGGAAGGGAACCCAATACCCAACAGTTTTGATATGTAATTTTTAATCTCTAATTTTGTAAAATTCACAATTTTGTTTCGATTAATAAATGTTCATAGTTGACCATAAGAATTATAATATTGATCATGCTTTAACACTAAATTGAGACATAATAATTAATATTTAATAATATTTAGATTAAATTATACATTAAGTATTTATTTTTATCTTATTTTCATCACTTTGATCACATTTATAATATAAAAATAAGAGATGATTAACATATAAAATCAAGTTTTTCTTATCTTAATAATTAAATATAATGTACGGAAATCTCACTTTTGTATACAAGGTGTAACCTTATTCCATTATAGAAGACAAATCTTTATACTCGATTAACATATAAAATTAAGTTTTTTTTTTTAAAAAAAGTTTGTAACATTTCGCATTAATTGATCTCTAAATATACAAAATAAAAGCTGTAACATGAATTCCATTATTATCAAGTATGCACATGAAGTGAAATGCACACTAAACTGAACCTACATCAAAATTAAGATGAGTTTTATCCTTTATGTATTGATTAAGTATGAAAAAAAAATCAAATTATTCAATTGAACAATATTTCAAGGTTCAATACAATGAATAATTTATTTATATTGAATCTCAAATAAAAAATTAAATTTCACTCATAGTATATAACTTCGATATACAGCATATATAGTCATTAATATATCAAACAAATTAAAATTCTCTATCCATAAGTTTTCCAAAATTTTTGACAAAGATTACTATGTATTTTGGTACTTTCCTTCGGACCTTTATCAAAGGTATAAAAATAGTACTCTCTCCGAACCATCATTTTTTATATTTTAGGTTTTTCCTTTTGTTTCAAAATTTTTTTATATTTTACAAGTTTAAAGTATTAATTTTTTTTTTTTACATATACTCTTATTTGATAATTATTATTCCTACTATATGATTATTCTTATTTCACATACATATTTTAAGATATTAAATGAGGACATTTTAAATTTAACATACTAACATTAAATATTTCTTATAAGAAATATGTAAAATCCTTTAAACATTAAAAAAAATTTATGATCCAGTGAGAGTGTGAGCTAGGTTTTATTTATATTCAATATAGCCAACTTATCTTGTATATAGGGTACATAAACTAAAATATAGTTAATTTACTAATTAATATTCTAAAATAGACTAAACTTAATATAAGAAAAGTTTTATCAACTTTCGATCTTGCAAACTTATCTTGTATATATAGTACCTGAATAAACTAAAATATATTTATTTTAATTACTAACTTATAGAATAAACATAATATAGACTAAGTTTTGCTAACTTTCGACCTTTCTGATTTATCATACATAAGGTATCTAATTAAACTTAAATACAGTTAAGCTACTCATTAGTAGACTAAGATAGACTAAAATTAACATAAATTTTTACAAATTTTCAATGTTACTAAAATATTGTCTAAAAAGTTTGAATATACGCTAAAAAATATAGGTTTAAGTTTTAATATATATTGGCTACATAGGGTGTTGACATACAAACCAATAGCTTCACATTGTTAAAATGAGAGGAAAAATAAGAATTTATATAAAACATATTAGAGATCTTTTGAATGTTGATCAAAAGTAAAATTATGATATAAAAATCTATAATAAACAATATTTAATTATTGTGAAATTGTGTGCATAAATACTACAAATTACAAAATAATGAAAATACCTTAAAATAACCCTCCTCTAGAAAGAAATTATATCCCTCTCAAACACACTGATAAAACATAATCTTAACAAAAAGGTACCTAGCTAGTTAAACTAAAATATAATTTAGTTAATAATTATTGTCCCTCTTGATTCAATTGGTGATTTTTTTTGTTCGTGAAATATAATCTGTTTGGAGCCTTGGCACCTTTTGCACAAAAAAAAAAAAAACTAATTAATTTTAGTATAGTCTAGGTTTTATTAATCACATAGTTATGTTGTATGTGATACCTGAACAAGTTAAAATCAAATATATTAAACTAAACAAAATTAAACTTATCAAACTAATCACAATAAACTAATTATACTAAACTTAGTAAGCCAAGCCACTAGGAACATGATGCCTAAATTGTTAACTTAAAATTGATATAGAATGATGTAGACTTGATTCATATATAAAAAATAATATGATATTTTTAAACTAATGTGTCTTTGACACATTTAATCAAACAGATAATGCATATCAAAAGAAACAAATAAAATGAGACCATGGAAAATCAAAACAACTACTAGATTATTATTTTTTAAGCCAAATCAATCAAATAGAAATGACAATTATTAGTCAAATCAACAAAATTGAGACAAATGCAAATACCTAGGAGTGAACAAGATAACAAGGGCACGAGACGAAACAAGGGCACATCAATAAGACCAAATTAAGGAAAGTAGAAGAGTGCTTGTGGAAGCTAGAATTGTGAAACAAAGGTCGTTAAAGGTATTAGATCGTCATCAAAGTTGGGTAGAAATGTTTGTGAAAAGGTTATGAGGAAGAAGAATTGAGAGCAAAAATGTGAAAAATGTGTTTTGGGAAAGTTTAATATGTTTTTCATAATTAGTTATAATTTGAACTGGTTGCAGCGGCTCAATTTAGAATCGATGTAAAAAGTGACATTTTATATCAGTTAAGTGACAATCAATTTAAAAATGTCACTACGTCACTTTCTATATCAATAAAATATCATTTTTACATTAATGCACATAAAAAGTTAAAAAAATTTAATTATATATATATATATAACTAAAGGAGCAACTTATACAAATTACACAAAACCAATTGATGACAATTAATTCATCAAAATATTCTTAAGATTAATTATGTTCCTCCATATTAGTTTGATGCTAATATGGTATATTTTGCACTTAGTGTCATTTTGTATGCACGACAACTAGCATGATAAAATGTTTCCTTTTTGCTTTATATAATGATTAATAATATTATATAAAATGTTGGATTTTTTTATTATTAATTAGTAAATACTTATTTATAAGTGAATTGAGACAAATAATCTATGATTCAATTCGAACTTACATCTCTATCATGTGAGTTTGGCACCCTCTACGATTACTAAAATCTTACTTTGATAGATATACTAATTACTTAAGAAAAAATTTTGACACCATGAAATTTTTTTAATAGGTCTCTGACTCTCTATGGGCCCGTAATTCAACAAATAAAGTTTTAATAAGCTAGACACTACTAAACTTTAATTAATCACTAAGTAAATAATGATATTTGGTTTAAGGATCTCCAACATATTACTAATCTTTAGAGTGTCATTTCCTATCTTCCATTTTATTATATATGCATATTTAATATTTCTTAATTATGTAGTAATAAAAAAATTGTGACATTGTTGATTGTAAATTTAAATTACCAAGCAGGTATTATAACCATATTTATTTGATTTGAAAAAGAAATTCCATTTAGCTAATTAAGTTTATTTTAGACAATTTTTATTTGTCAATTAAATTATAATTTATATAACCTAATTAATTTTAAAATTCTGAATTAAATATCATGCAGTTTCTATGAGATAATTAAAATAAAAAATTATATCGATCTTGTGACGTTTTTTTCATCAACGGTGATTTACTTTTGAAGTTATGATAAAATAAAAATAAATAAGAAATATAAATTATTGATTTATTACTTGATAAAGTTAATTGGATGTGTTTTATATAAATATAGCTTATAACCATAAAAAATGGTATTTAATTGATGGTCAATTATAACTTGCCTTGCTAAATAAAGTAGATGAATCATTCTTATAAAATATCAATAAAAATTTTCAAAATAATCTCACAGTATTCAATACATCGATAAAGTTTATTTATCTAATTTATATAAAATGATAATTAATAAGTCGTGAATAAATTTGAAATTTCTAAATAAAATTTTATATTCTAAGTCTTGTGAATAAAAAATATAATTAAAATCCTTGCTAAAAATAACAGGTTAAATTCATGCGAATATTAATTATTGATGAAGAAAAAAATCTTCAAACACATCTCAAATACAATTAAAGAATCATACAATCATTTTATACATTGATTCGAATTAGTGAAACAAAGTATCAAATGATTTTTAAATTTTCTA